ACGCGTCTGCTCAAAATTAAAAACAAGCTGAAAATCGGCTGTTTTTACAAATAAAGTCAGGAAGAATTCTCGATATTACGCGCCTCGTTGGGTATCTACCATCTCATATCCAACGCGCACTCGTGGAATAATTGTTAAATAGTCCTTTTCAGTTCGGCTTGTATGCTGCGTTCTCCAAATTCAGACCACGTGGTGTTCTCAAGGAAATTTTGTCCTTTTTGTGTTTTCATAAGTTGTGCATACATATGCATGTGGAATCAGTTCTCTGAACTACAGTCAAGTGGTCTTAAGTGGGAAAATTAACGTCAAGTCAAAAAGGTCTACCTTGCTTTTTGTTCATGTAAATTTAATTTTCTTTCGTAGTTCGAAAAGACGTCGGATCATTTGTTCGACGCAGCGTTGCACGGACAGACAGACTCTATTGATGGTAAGAGTAAAATACGACGATCGAAGAACTGCTGAAAATATTAAACAGCGTGCAAAGAAAGTAGTGTCCGGTAGCCATGTACTAGTGGATTTTGCTATCGGGCTAGGGAATTCTGTTATCAACTTGCCCGACGGGCAAGTGAATTTTTTTGAGGAATTCAAATTACAGAAGAACTGCCGAGTGTGAAATCAATCTGCTCATCAAAACGTTTTTTGGGCTAGTTGAAATGATATTTGGGCTAGTAAATGTTAGCTTCAGCTTGCCCGAATGGCAAGCTGTAAAAATGACTTTCTTTGCACCCTTTTAAATGACACAATTTTTTTCACCTTCATCTTGGGAGATGTAAAAATGTAAGTGTTTGTTGTCTAAAACTTAAAAGATACTGTTTAGTTTAGTTAACGTTTTCTCTGATTGACAAAGAGGTCATCATCATCGTCATCGTATGGTCGAGTCGCCGCACCACGTTCTGTTGTTTTCAACAGGAGATCTCACCTTAACCTGAGTATCAGGGGGCTGTTTCTCGACAACTGGCAGTAACTTCTCTAGGCTCGAAACCAAACATTAAAATCAAAAGCGCGAGTTCTAGCTAACAGACTGGTTCATTTTGTTTTGTTAACTGAAAGTTTTGTCATATCATCTGCGAAAGTATGGAAACCTCGATCTTGAATATAAACAGTAACTACTCTCCGGGCCCGTTAATTATCGAGACTTTCGAGAAACGGGCCCCAAGCCCTCTTAGGGGTTCAAAGGGTTAGCTGGTACTCAGGCTAGCCTTGCCTCTTCTTTTTTCTTGTTTTTCTGTAAAGAAATTGTTAGGATGTTTTTACATGTATGTAATTAATAAGTTTTGTTTCGTTGTAGGTGTAAGCGAGTGTATCATTATGGGTATTCCAATGAACATCGGTACAGGAATGTTCAAACTTCTTCACAAATATCCTTTCAGATAGTACACAGTAACAAAAGTTTTCTTATTCAACTTTGAAAGTAGCGGCCTTTAGCTTTGATTTAGCCTGAGGAAACCGCTGACATTTCGCCACGCCACTACTAGTTTCCCCGCGAAATTAGGGACTTTAAGATCCAACGACGAGGACGACAACGAGAACGTCGAAAAAAAACAATAGGTTTCATAAGCAAAACGACAACTTCGCACGTGCATCACACTTTTTTGTACATTTCTTTCCCGTTTTTGCACGACTACGACGTGAAAATGCCTGCAACGACGAAATTTTATTTCTCTTTCTGAGCTTGAACATGGTCCCTTGAAGTTCAGCTTCAGGAGGGTTCGCCTACATTTGACAAAGTAAGTGGGCAGGAATAATCCGCGCTATAAAGACTGAAAGAACGCAAATTCACTTTTTCAGCGACGTTCTTGTCTCCGTCGCGTCGTTGGATCTTAAAGTCCCTATTATGTCTGAGAAACTAGCGCAGAAATTCCATAATGATGATTGGCTGAAGCAAATTTCCCACGTGGCAGGACCAATCAGAAGCTCTACCCTGATCTGGGTAGTGACGCGTCATCAGTATGGAATTTCTGCGATCGTTTCTTAGTCGTCATTTCGTGCAGAAACTAATGGTGGTGTCGGGAAATGTCGGTAGTTTTTTCAGGGTAGCTTTGATTGCGCATTGGAGATCTAAGAAGGCAGGGCGGCCGAGTGGTCTACTCGCGAGACTTACCTCTCGGCGCCTGATCTTATGTCACGGTAGTCCCAAGTTCAACTCATCGGCCATGCTTTAAAAAAACCAACTGGTTGCCTCCTACCAATTTAATTATTCCAGCGAGCGGTGAATACTGTCGCTCTCTTTTGAGTTATTATCATCCTTAACATTGTATACACCACAGAAAACCGGGTCTCCCCGCCGCCGAAGTCTAATTTTCGACAACCCTGAGTTTCACCTACCGGAGCCTGCAACAGCAAGTTTACGGTAGATTTACAAAATTATATTTTACAGTGTATGCCTATGTGCGCAGTATTCTTGCCATCTGAAATACTAGGCAAACAATTTACCAGCCAACCAAACAAAATTGTAAATGTGTTTATTTAAAAGTTATCGGACAAACCATCATTAAAGAGATGTTTATGCGGAGACAAAGAGTGTTTCAAGTAGCATTTTTTATTACGAACTTAGAATACGTTATCTTTTCCTGCTACCCGAAGCCTCTTCTCCCGGTTAAACGATACAGTTTTCGAATGCTAATGCGCAAAAACCTGAACGACAGTAAGAGTGTTCCTTTTTTAATGATCACTTTTCAGGACGATCCGACGTTTTATTCCGGTTCTCTGCAGGCGGCCAGTGTCGTGTCAGTGTCGAGTAAAACGACGAGCATCCGTTAGTGAACCTGGTTCCCAAAACCTTAGGAAAGAAAGGAGTCGATACCGCTTTTTCTTTACTTCGATACGGGTGGAAATTTGTGTACGATCTGGATTAGAATTGACTTTATTTCAGTATCGATATTAAGACTTCTTCCTGTAATGCATTAAGGCTCTGTTGCAAGCTGAATTTTTTCTTCAAAGAATTTTTATTGAACTATAGACTTCTTGGAGTGCCTGAAAATCGCTGTTTGATATAATCCATTGTTACATCCCAGTCAGCCAATGGGCTACCAGAATTTTGCGTAGAGGACGAACGAAGTTTGAATAAGCTTATATTACATTTGCGGAAGAAGAGGTATTGTTACACCAGAAAGCTCAGAAAAATTCTGACCGAGTTCTAGATCGGATTCTCTAGCCACTGACCTACTAGAGGCTCTATGGCGAGCAGGGTCGAAATTTAATCAGAACTACACTAGTAATTTCTCTCCAGCTTTCACTGGAGTATTCCATTCACAGATTCCGTGGCAGCACCACTTTACCCGGCTTGATAAACAAAACCATAAGTAAGTGTTGTTTGAACGAACCCACTTTAGGAACTCATTCACGGACTCAAAATTTGGAATCGCTTTGTACAACGTTATAAACAGCACCACAGGAAAGCACTGTTCATTTTGATGTGAATTGTTAAAAGTTTAGTATTCTACCCACAATACGTGAAAATGTTAGACCACAACATCATGTACAGCAAATGAAACGGCTCTAAAAGAAACTATTGTTCATAAGCAAACAAGTTACGATTAGGCCGAACCGTTTTAAAAATTTCCTTTGTGGTGATATTAAGTAACCTACAGTGCCGGCGTACAATATGATGTCTATAATTACTATTAGCATAATTATCTACAAAATATAATTAGTTTTTTTTGTCTCTGGTCAGGCCCTGTGAATATATTTCCATACAAAAGGAAAGTCTGAGAGAAATTGAGTCACGTAGGTAGCTTCTCTACTTCATCAACATTCTCGAAATTTGGAGTAAAATGTGACCAATATTTGCAAAATTGAGGCGGTTACGATTCAATCTAGACAAACGCCGTAAAAATGGCCAGAATTTTAAGTGATGCGCGTCCTACAAATGTATTCGAAACATCGATTCCAAAGTTGGAACTTCAATTTTCTTACGCGACCCGCTAAAATATCCTTTTGTTTCTTCTAAAAATGTCACTTCAGATACAAACTTTAGGGTTTTCAAAGGTAACCTTGAAGTCTTTTCTACAAGTTGCTAGGTTACTGCCGAAAGAATGAGAAAATCGTTAAGTAAGTTCCTTTGTTTTGTGGTCTCGGATTACAACTGAGACCACGTGTAGTTAGCAAGGCGAACACACGGAATGTAAACTTTGTTGGGCGACAATGAGCTAACTTAAACTACCAAGTCTTGTTTTAATTTGATTTACATCATTTCTGAAAACCAGCCCATTGACTTGATTTTATCAATTATTAAGTTCCTACTTCCTTTAGCCATACTTGTTTTTTCTTACGGGTTGTATATTGTGTTAACAGTGAGTGATTTATTCACATTGTCATAATAAAATGGTAGGATAAATCAGACAAGATTTTTCCGAGTCAGTTCTGCTTCATTTCTTTTCCAGCATTTAAGTTCGGTATTAAAAGCGTTGCTACCGCTTATATCCAAGCATGCGCCTATTTAGAAGTTTTTGTTAGATTTCGTGTTGACTGCGTGATTTTTACTCTAATCTTCCACGTGGTTTGTAGACAAAAGACTTCACTAAGGCGCCTTATTTGAGCGTTTGAAAACGTAAGTGCATTCATGATTTCTATTCATTGAATTTTTCAACGGACCGGAGCGAAAAAGAAAGATTCTTTTTTTTTTCTTTTTCTTGTTCTCGAATTTCAACGCGTCTCTTGCGAAATTGTCTTCGTTTTTACGTTTCCGCGAAGAGAACTTCAGCAGTAGCAGTTTGACTCAACATTTCTAGTTACTAGACTTAACAAAGCAATTGTCTGTATAGTTCCTGTTTGTTTGAATCAATGAGACACGCTACGCTAAACGTTTTATGCGATCGTCGCGCCAAAAACTCTTCTCGCGCTTGCGTTTTGAGATCCACTGAAAGCCCAGGATGTTTGAGTGATACAAAAAATAGAAAGCAAATCAGTGGTTGTTTAAAAACAACTTTATATAATTGGTTTTATTTCAATAACATGTTAACACGAAACAGCTGTACGGTCGCTTAATAAAGATACTTTAGTCAATAAAAGCTGTTCAAGGTCTACGGACGTTATAATACAGTACTATATATCTAACCGCTTCTTTAAAAAGGGGCGGAAAAGGAATGCGATTCCTGCAATGTATCTACAATATTTTACAGATAGTAAAAAGGAAGTCATAATTCTGAGTCAGTCATGACTGAGTATAGTCATGAAATCCTTTCAAATACACATCCAGTTCTGAACTTTTAATTCCGTAATGATCGCCACCCTGTGAAAATGAATAACAAAACGGTTACCAGCTGAAATAGAAGGAAATAACAGTCGAACAAATGGTGGATTATGTTTGTACCATTGGACTTTCTAGGGCAGCTGAACGCCGCAAGGTGTGATACTTGGGTAAAGCGGAAAACTTACGAAGAAATAATGTTTTTACTCACCGGAAACTGGTCCAAGGTTTTTGGTACAACTAGTGTAACGGCTTGATCGTGCATTATCAAATTTGAACCAGCAGGAATATTTGGCGCAATAGCTGATGTCATTTCAACGGGTGTAAACGGTCCGGATAGAACTGCTGCAGTTTGAGGAGAGCCTTTCAGATAGCAACTCAACATGGCGATATAATCAATAGCCATCCGCAACACCTCGATTTTAGAAAGTTTCTGTGGATTCTGGTCCACACAGGGAACTTTCTTTCGTAACAGTTCTAAAGCGTTGTTCAAAACATGTCGTCTTTTGCGCTCTCTAGCACTGGCCTTTAGTCTTCGACTGCGGTCAAGTTGTGCCCACTTGCGGTACCTTGAGCTATCACCGGAGCTGTTCACCTCCTTGCTTGCAGGAACAATTTGATCGCTTGCGTTGTTGTCTTCACCAGCTCCTTTTGTCATAATTTCTACTCAAGTGGTGTGCCTCGCAGATGCTTTTTCCCGCTCTAGCTGGTCTTTCGACTATCGCTAACTGATTGCCTATTGTGTCACTTGTAACATATCTTTTTTTTCCACTGCACGCGTGCAGGGGCTATACTCATTACCACAACAAAGCGTGCGCACGCTTCCGATTTTGCGCGTGCTCGAGAATAGGCGCTTTTGTTGAGCTGTCAAACTTTGCCGGGCTTTGTGGTTTTCTTTTAACGGCTTTATTCCCAAGAGTGTGAAAACTCAAAAGTCAAAGAAACGCTAAAATCTATTTGCCAAATACTGAATTTGAATGGCTTCAGGCGAATTGCCGGCCATGGAGTTTCACTGGAATGATCGACCTTAGCATTTTATACAGAAAAGCTCAATTCCATAACATTTCACCACATCTCTCTTAATTGATTCTAGGAGCGAAAGAAATAGTTTTATTTTAAATTTAGAGCAAAAGCTGAAATTTAAATTAATATGATTTTGTTAAACTATTATCTGCAATAAACGGTGATAATTTCTCTGTAATGAAGGTAGAGGATTATACTTTTTTTTGCAAGATAATGGGAAACAAACTTCGCCCTTTAAATATAGTTGTCGGCAACTCCTATGTAGCGTGTAATTGAATTGGTCGTTGTACTTTAAGAATTTAATTTACAGTCTTAAAGTTAATGAAAAACCGCCTTAAGGGGACGAGTGAAGACTTATAGATAAGAGTTGCCCTTCGCTTACCGCGAACCGCCCTTGGCTCATACCGCTTAATTGAAAGGTTTTGGTTACAACCGCATGACCAAGGGCATCTTCCCGTTTAGGGACAAAATCCAAGGTGATATTCAAACTCAAATTTACTTCTTTTGAAGAGATTCAGTTGGTGTCTGCGTGAATGAAGCAAATTAAACTAACCACTTCCAACTTCGAAACTAGCGTCCGTAAAGACGCTTCCTTTTTTTCGTGTATGTGTACATTGTACGTAGAAAGTCAAGCCCTCGCGGCTTTTATTGATGATCGTCGACTATGATGTGGCATATTCCAAACCGTAAATTCCTGCCCGAATTTGTCGGCAGCCTCTCAGTCTCGACCCCAGTGCCTATGCTTCCGACTCCTTGCGCAGAGCTCTGGGGTCGAGATTGGGACCTCTTTAGTAAGATACGCGCATGCTGAGTGAAATTTTGTGGGCGGCGCTTGAAGTCACGTGAAGATCAGAAGCAGTCAAGTAGTTATTCAACTGTTAAAAAACGGCCTTTTTGAATTAATTTTACAACAAACTTGAGTTTGGATCAGGAGTCCGTTGGATACAGGTCTGTAGTTCGCTAGATCCTCAGAATAAGCATTTGCCTTCTTCAACACCGCACAAATAGGATCATGGTAGCTGCCTTAATCACACGGCACCGGAGAAATTTTCGACCTGCTGAAAAATTTGACCGGGCACTTCGTTCACACGCGGCGCAGCGTGTTTTGCGACATTGCTACAAAACGACTTGAAAGCAATGTTTCTCGTTTTACCATCCACTTCAAAACCTGTCTTGCAACAAATCAGGCTGTTGCAGGTTGCGAAAAGTTGTTGTAGAAAGTGGACAGTAGTTCTACTTTTTGCAACAAACTCTGTACATGTTGTGCATTTTACCGGCCCAAGGCAACTTGTTTTACAGCAACTGACGTAACCCTCGTGTATGGCGTGACTCCCGCGTTATTTTATCCAATCAGAAGTCTACTGTAGAAGTCAGTACTCTCGCAACTTGCAAGAACTTGATTTGTTGCAAAACAGGTTTGATAGTGGTTGGTAAAACGCACAACACTGCCGCAATGTTTTGGAACAAGTTGCACGATTTTGTCGGCCGTTTTACCGTAGCTTAAGTTCAGTATGCTGTGGAAGTATAGCTGAGGTTCTAATCCTGGGAATATAATCCAATAAGCGCCTATAAAAGCAGATGCATAAGCACACAATAAATCATTTATAATGATTGTTGACAACCTGTCGTTGTTCCCAGTCAAACCTTATGGTTCAAATCTGTCGTAAGCGACCGCGGTCGGTTTTTGGGCTGACATGAGCGACCATTTGACGCATGGTGTAATCTCTATGTTCGCTGTATGCACTTTAAAACTTTACAAAACAGTGATATGGTAAATGGTTTGACCCGCAGACAGCAAAGGCTAATCGAGGCGGGTCAGTTCTTAATTAATTTTTTTTGTGAATTATTTAATTAAATACAAAAGAAAAAAGTTTGAACTGAAAGTAGGATACAATAAAATAACGTGTGGCACGAAATTTTTGCGGGAGTTTATTTTTACGGATTGGCGATTTTTTGTGTTTTGCGGGAACTAATTTTTGCGATTTTCAGAAAGTACCCAGCACCCAGCATTGATAATATTTTCGTTTTTATTGAGTACGTGCAATAGAAATACATATTTTCAAGCAATAAACCAGTATTTCATTGTTTCTGAATGAAAGAGACAAGCTGTAATTGAACAGACACGATTTCTTAGTACTGTATTATTGTGTAGCGAGTTTAATTTAGAGAATATTTACTCTGCAGTAAATTTTTACGGGAAAAATGTTTGCGGTAATTGTTATTTGCGGGAACTAACTTATTTTTGCGGATCGCTGGAAAAAACGCAAAAAAACTCAAAAATTTGAACCCGCAAAAATTTCGTGCCACGCGGTAGAATTAACGGAAAAGGAGACGAGGTGCGTGTAATCAATTTTGCTGTGAAAAGAACACAGCAGAGACAGATATTCTAATGTAGCTTTTTAAATCTATGGTTAGTTATAGTTAATTTATAGTTTTTGAATTTTGACGTTTTATCATCAAATTCAAAATACGAATCGTTATATTGTTCAATTTTAAGTTCTTTTGTGAAGGCCTTTTTAGATAACTTTTAAAATGTCATTAGGTATCTCTTTTTAGCTTTTGACGCCAACACGCGAGAAAACGTTTCTTTGTACATGTTTTAACTCTAAAATTTAGAGGAGTAATTTTGAGAAGTTGAGGAGCGAGTGTCGTTGGTATGGATACTTAGAGTTTTCGAAGAGAGTTTCGTGTGGTTCAAATCTCTTTACCGACCACCGCATCTTCACGTTTTCGGTGGTCGCTAAGTTCGACTTATTTTTCAAATTTTCAAAACATCGAGATCAATAACACAGTGACTATTCTGCGAAAAAATGTTAATGAACTCTGTGAGAAAAAATAACTTTTGATACTAGACTAAGGCCATTTTCATCATATACTGGGTAGCTTTTGCGCCGGCACGAAAAGGGCTTCTGTTCACGTAAGAACAGTGATCACAGTTTCGGCACGATTTCTGTAACGGGGCGAAGCTGCTCCGCGCCGATCTGTAAATGGAGAGTTACATATCGGAAAGGTGTTCATACTATACACCGAATGCAAATATGGCGGACCTCTCGGCCGGCCCGGGTCTAGTTGCGCGAAAGCGAGGCTAATGAGGCCTCGAGAGTTATATTTTGACTGCGCGTCTTAGCGATTGAGTCGATCGATATGGTTTGCTTCGAGTTGTAGCGTGCCTGAGTGCCACCAAAAAGGAGATTTTACTCTAGCTGGACCTACCTTTACTTTCTCTAGATCTTTTTCGTGTTGGCAGGAAAGGTTTTCCGGTAGAGCGTGAATATTGCCTAAAGAATAGCCTGCGCCATAGAGTGATCAGCATCAAATTTCTCCTTGTAATATCAATGCTTTGTGAAACAGAGTGGTCATGAGAATTATGGACATGATCACACAAGATGATTTTGCTTGATATTTTATCAACTTCTCCCCACTACGTCTGTTGGAAATGAATAGGGGCAACAAATGAGAATTCAAATTTTGATCTTTGGGTTTAAAGGGTTAACTGGGGTTAGATTACGTCTGCGACGCAGGATGACTGAAGACAAAAGAAGCACAAAATTTAAACATCTCAGAAAAAAAAAAACAATATACATTCTTGTGTTACGTGACCCGTTGTTTATCACTTCCTTGTTCGGCACTAAAGCTTTCAATATAAACAGTGCTTTTAGTCCACGTGTTATGGAGGCCAATGTCAAGTCATACCCCGGGGGGTGGGGGTAGCCTGTACGAGGGGGCTCCGCGTGAAAGGAGCACCTTTTTCAGGCTTCAGGTGTATGAAATAGTAGGGAAATTTGTCATTTCGGTAGGTAAAAAGGCTCAAAAGGAGTGACAGATGCATTTCATGACCGTCATAAAGTGGAGAAAACGTTCTGGTTTTGTGATTAATTCATAGTTAAAGACAATACATTTACAGCAGTTAAAAGGGATGCAAAGTTCTAAACAAGGTGTGTGAAAAGGGTACTAACTGTCAACAGAAAGTGTACGAAAGGGGCACCTTTTCTGACAAAAATAGTATATTGAAGGATAATGGGTTGGACCTCGGGGCAGAGCGTCCCCATATGAAACCTTGTTGAGTAGCTTCCCCCCCCAATTCCGGGAGTCAGACACGTCTGATAATTGCTTGTCGGTATCATCTGTTGACATGTCTGAGGGAAATTAAAGAATTGGGACATTGAATTAGTAATCGTGATAGTTGTCTTATTGACGCTATGAGTTTTAAAGCGTGAAGCACTGGCTAAGGTAATCAGATAATCAGGCCAGGACCTTGACGTGCGATTCTCTGATGATTTTCCAGTTCTTTTACTATTAAGTAACCAGAGACCAGAGCTTCTTCATTCTATGTGTGTGCGCGCTAACCTGCCTTGAAAAAAGCGATGAGTTTTTAAAAGGGTAAACCAATATAAAAGATTTTATCATCAGGTTACTCGCTTCCCGTTTCCTCGACCACCTATCCCTTCTGGCCACTGAAATCGGGGTACGAGGTTCTGGAGCAGAGCGGACACTGAAGATGAGGATGACCCTTGTGGCTTTCTGTTGCCACGATTTTCTTTTCTTTCCACCAGAAAGTTCCTGGTAAGAAATGGCGCCAAATGTTAAGGAAGCGCATGCTGTGGAAGGCTTGTACTGTACGTCTATGTTCCAACCCTTCTCTTCCAATTTGTAAAACTTGTTTCTTCCGCGTCCTTTCACCTTACTTTGTCTCAACGTGTTGCCAATGTCATTCACCCCCGGTTCCTTTTTTCACTTTCTAGTACTGCCCTTTGTCGTCCCGATCTTGTTCCCCACCTTTCCATTTTGTTTCCATTACTTTTCTTTGTAGAAATTGCAACTGGTGAAAGGCTGCGCCTTCCTGGGCCCTTCCCACTCCCCCATCTCCTCCCCTTCGCGGTTTTTAAAAAACATTACAGCCTAGTTTGTGAGTTAATTTTAAAAAATGATTTCTTGCTGTGGAATAAGTGGTTATGAAACCCCGGGGGG